TTGACGGTGCCACAATGCTGGATTTCCAGGGAGAATAGTTTATAAGCGTAGAAGTATTCAATTTATTAACTGAAATCACAAATTAAATTATCAATGTCATGATAATATTGTAACAAATTTATAAGGATCTATAGCATTATCATTATAAATTTAGCTTGCAAGATAGAATCGTATTAGCCTTATTAACATTTGAATATCACACGTGTATGCATTAATAATGTGGTGCATGTATGTATATTAGCATAAATAAAAATATGAATTGTTGGCAAGCTGTATATGTTCCATATATAATTTACTTCGCCAGCCAATTGGCGCTATATTAAGACAAAGATGTAAGTTATTCGTTTATATATGCAGTTTGCCATTATAAAATGAATCATTTTCAGTTTACATATATGCATGCATATCATAGACCGAACACAATTAAGATACGAGATATACTGACCTGAAACTATAATAGAACTATATGTAAGCATTGTTCATTCTTTAAAAGTGATGTTGATTGGTCTAATTATATATTACTATATTCCAATGGCGACGATTGTATCATAAAGTCAGATGAAACGTACAGCTATATTAATAAACAATATGACTCGATTTTTTCGCGCCGTTATATTTACTGATGCGTATACTACTTTTGACATCTCATTTCCCTTGTAGGAGTAAATTAAATACACGCTCGTCAATAAATAAACAAATATAGAGCGAAAATATATAAGAAAATCTTTTTTCAAACACATGTAGGAAAGTAAACATAAAGCTTTATTTACGTTGAACAGAACCCGGCTACGTAAATAAAGTAATATTTTTACTTTTCCGCTAAGACAGTGAACATTGTATTATTGTAGCAACGCAAAAGGAGAGTTGGGGCTAGTTGAACCCTAGTATAATAACATCTTCATTTAACTATATTAAAAAACACCGCATTAAATTGACTAACTACATTTGGGGAACGCTTTTAGAATAAAATTAGCGACTTCTTAATTTATACCTCGGATACTTCGTTGATTTTAATCCTGAAGTCTTCTTCATCATTTTTTATTTCTGGAGATGACATTATAATCCTCCAATGAAACAGCAGAATCGCCCAACGGCTGCAGAGGTTCTTGTCCGTCCGCTATATACACATCGAGTTAAACCAACTGTTTAATTTATTCACCGCCCCTGGCCCTCCCCTATTCAAATACTCATTAACAAGGAAACGATGGCAAGCTTTCAATCAATATAAATCGCTACTTCTCAAAATAAAGGGTTTTTTCCCAAATATACTACTGCTTCGACCAGAATAGCCTGTGTTCACTGCTTGAGTTTTAGCTTCTTTTAGCTTGGGGCAGATGAAAAAAATAACATTTTGAATAATTGCTTTTCGTACACCTGTCTTTCACACTATGTAAAGCGGATAATACAATACTAGCTCATTAAGACTCATTTCAAAAGGCGCTTTCGCTCAATTAGTGTAATTTGCACATGTCGTTCGCGCCCTGATGTCTTTTTCGTATTGTATTTACGACGTCGGACTGATATGTACACTATGAAATAAACCTAATTAACGTTGCCGTTGCTCTTTAAAGAAGTTCGAAATCAATTTGACAATGTCATCAATGAAAGACGATAAATGATAAAAAGCCATGCAAAGGTTCACTTTTAAATATTCCATATTATAAATGCATACAATCGTATTTGTAATACGGTTGTGAATAATAAATGTGCGAGTTTTGTTAACTTTTTGCGTGAATTTGTTTAGTTGACCTTCATTGGTTCAATGGGTTAACCGCAGCATGGGGAAACAAAGCGTTGGCATCGATGGAAGTTTAAAAATAATCGATACAAGCCGAATTTGCAGGCAAGCAACAAAAAACAACTTATTATACAGCCCCCAGGAGGTTGTGTTTGCATCCGCGTTTGCATATGTCGATATGTGTGTCTGTGTGCCAGTGTTTGCCTGTCAGCACGATAATTTAACAAATATCAAACGTATTTTCAGAAAATTTGTGAGACTAATGGACATTGTCCAAGGACAAATTGATAAAATTTTGGTTAAATTTGGATGAAAATTGCATGAGAAATTATAGCAAAGGTTTGTTGTTCTTTGCCGAGCAGAGTAAATTGCATGAATGCATAATAATATAATTTACTTACGTATAATTTATGCATGTACATAATTTAATGTGCTGGCGGAGGTATACAGTCTCCGAGCGCTCCCTAGTTTACAATGGATTATGCTGTCCGCTTCGATTTCAAGATCATTGTTCCATGTGCAAATATAGAAACCTGTTTATGAAGCAAAATATAGCGTAATTTTTTGCTTACTTTGGGCCTCAGCAGCACTCCAAAAGGGCAAAACTAATCACGTTGGGATTGGCCACAAACGAAATCGCTCTGGTTCGTTTCGATACGGTTACAGTGACGTGTTACGCTCATTGGGTAGGGTTGGTTCAAAAACTAAGGGCCCCCGACAGTTAGGGGCACCCATCAGCCACGGCCTATCGCCCAGAAAACTAGAACACGTAAACTGAAATGCAACTTTTAAGAATCAATGAGAAAAGGCAAAATTAATAATGCTAACTATATTTAATAAAGCCTCCATCAACGGTAGCCGATTTTTTTGTTCCATCTCAAATAAAACAAAAGTTATTCTTATTGGTTGTTACATGTGTTGGAGACTGTTATTGTTTTGGTTATGGACACGGAATTTTCCAGAACATTCTATAAATATTCAATATTTAACAAATATAAAACATTTTCCGTGTTGATATACATGCAGTTATATCAACACGAGTGGAAATTGGGAAAACGAGAAATCGGTGTGGAAACACGATGCCCGAAGGGCGGAGTATTTTCACACATAAATTTCGAGTTTTTCCAATTTCCACGAGTGTTGATATACATATATAACTGCATGTATATCAATACGGAAAAAATGTTTTATATTTGTTTTATAATATAGCACAGAGAAACATAAAGAAAGAAATTTTCCGACGTTTCCGTGTTGACATTGAGTTATATCAACACGGCTCTTAGCCAATCAGCGTTCAGAATTTACAAATGCTATATTATAAAAAGATCTATAAAATATAGTATCTCGGTCAAACAGAGAACAGACGTATATTGGCATCTATAATTTGAATTTGACGTACCATTTTTCCAGCTAATTTCAGCAGTTTCCAAACGGACTGTATCGTTAATCACGTTATCGGTTCATAAAACTATAGTATTAGTATTCTTTAAATCGAAGTCAAGTTACGATCGAATTGTTTGCACATTCTTTATACTGTTCAGACAGAAAGAATAGAAAAGGATTCATGCTGACGTCCAATAACTCCGATCTTTGACTTCACTTTTTGGACTCGATCGAGTTCTCACTCCAGCATATGCATGAGCTCACTGGGTCAATCCAGTGAGCTCTATATATGCCTGGAGCAAGAACTTTAGTCATTCGTCCTATGTGAAAAGTGAAGCCAAGATGGCGGCCATTGACGTCCAATAAAGGTCGTGAACAGCTTTTACAGTGCCGTAACAAGCTCAATAATTGGGGGGGGGGGCTCATATTCATATATTCGTGTTCTGCGTTATTAATTTCTTTTGAAATCGATTGTTTTTATGGTCTGTGAACACGAATATATGAATATGAGCCCCCCCCAATTATCGAGGTTTTGTTACGGCACTGTTTTATAACTATTTTCCCCCAGCTTATTCCAGTTTTTAACGGACCGTATCGCTAACCAAGTTATCAGTTCATAAAACCATAGTGTTATTCTTTAAATCCATGTCAAAATACGAAATTTCGGTATACTTCTTGCCAAGATGGCGGACTGAATTGAAGGAGCTATTGGACGTCAGTTCCAGTCCCTTTCTATTGCTTTTGTTTGCGCGATTAACACGAAACTGCATGTCTTCACTTTTTCGACTCGAGTTCTCGTTCCAGATATATATGAAGCTCACTGGGTCAACCTTTGTCCCAACCGGAAATTTGAAGCCAACTGACTTTAAATCCAGTCCCAGTCATTTCACGCATGCAATAAGCGCGGTTAATCCGTCAACATGAACATGTATTCTTGAAAACCGGCTTATATTTATATATATATTTAGTATTTTTACACAAGTGAACATAACAAATCCTACACGTTGATTGGTCAAATTTGACGTAATAAGCTATATATATATATATATATATATATATATTATTCTGGTCAGGTCACAGCCAAACAGGAACCCCCCTGAACCAGGATAATAACTCTAGGTCTGTAACTCAGTAACATACAGCCGTTTCTATTTGGCTGATTGCGAGGTTCCTATCAAACCTGTTCGGATCATTTCTCGCCAAACTCATTGAAATTGAATTGAAACTGCAAACTTACCCAAAAAATTTGAAAAAATATTATATAACCTAATAACGATATTGAGAATAGAAAATAAGGAAAATAACTTCAGTGAGTTTTGACGAGTTTGATGCGAAGTCTTTGCCTCAGAAACTCGTGAGTGCATGCGTGCTTTTCATTGTTCAAATTTATGCCATATTTATACTACGAATATTAATCACGAGATTCATTTGCAATGTCGCAGTGCCAGTGTAATTTAATTAATACTGTTCAAAAATTTAATCAAGCTGTGTTCATCTCAAACTGAAACTGAACTGTTTGCAGTTAAAAGACTCACTCGGGCGCTCAAATCGACGGCAATTTAGTATATTCTGGTGAAATTAAACAAACTTGGTACTGCAGAATCTACTTAGCTTCAATAACTCAAGTTGAACTCAAGGATACAAACGTACAGTACAAACGGCGAAGATAAGTTATAGACTGACGTGGCAACGATTATTAATGCAGGCTACTAGTGTTATTCAACAAGCTAGAAAACTGATCAAGCTATTATCGTATGTTTCGTGAAACACTACTGAACGATTAATCTATTGCTTTTGAATTTTTCTTAACAGTTAACTGTTTTTCCCACGAGAATTACGCATTACCAGAAAGTTAGAAATCCGAGAACTTATGCGGGGTTGAAATGGCTTCGAAATTGGCTGTATACGACACTGGTTATGAAGATCAACGATTCGAACATATAGTCAGCCAGAGTTTTCACTGTATTATTTGCACCAGTGTTCTCAAAGATGCAGTCATGTGTTCTGAAAATGAACATTTGTTCTGTCGGGCTTGTATCACCAGACATCTCATGAACTTTCAGACATGCCCGACATGCATGGAACCACTCACTGTCGACACACTAAGCCAAGCACCTCGGGGTATAAGAAACTTGCTGGCCGAATTGAAAATTCGATGTGAATTCTTCGATCGTGGTTGTGGAAAGTTTATTGAGCTGGGAGATCTTGAAAGGCATGTTACAGAATGCGGTTTCGCCCCAGCAGTCTGCTCTAACGAAGGATGTCAACTTGAGGTGAATAAACAAGATTTACTTCATCATGAAACGTCTGTGTGTGAACTACGCAGAGTTCAGTGTCACAGCTGCAACGAAATTAGACAAGAGACGGATACAGTGAAAGTCAACTTGGCAGAAATAAATGAAAAGTTGGACAGAAATGAGGAAAAGCTGACCAAAGTTGAACTGCTTCAAGAACAACTTAACAAGCAGGAAGAAAGCAATCGTCGGCTTGAAACGGACAATATAGAAATAAAGAAAAGTTTAAACGAAATTACAAAACTGCTACAAACATTGACACAACAAACATCGCATGAAGTTGAGGCTGAGCAAATGAAAAAAGGAATCATAGAAGCTGATGGAATGAACAGAGAGCCGATGATTGTTATCGCTAAGCGTGAGGATGAGGGTAGAAATTTAAATAATTCTTTGGAAACGTTCAGCCAATCAACAGATGACGAAAATATTGAATCACAGGACGACTTGGATGTGGATCAAATTTGTAGATCCTCACCTGAGGAAAGTCTTTCACCCCTTGTATCATCAATTCCAATTGTAGAGCCATACACGTTTGACAAAATCCAAAGACCAGAATTAGATATTAGATCTAGACCAGGAGCCAGTTACCCCATACATGAAGCATCTACCTTCATCCCAGATACCCAACGATATAGATATCCTCTCAGACCTTCTTCCCAGGATCATTCAACATATACGCCAACAGGACAGGCTGGACAGCTACATTATTATACTCCGCCCATACAACCAGCATTCCCTCTCCCGCCGTTTCGTATGGCAACGCCAACTAACCGGCTACCGGAGCAACCTGTACATAGAGTGCGCCTGCCATCATCATTCTTTCCAGAACCTGTAATACAGGATACCACCATGCAAGCCACCAAACCTCAGGCCCGGAACCGACGGCAAAGACGCCGGCGAAACAAAAAAAGCCCATGTACATAACATAAACCCTGGACTCGCGAATGTATAACCAAATCATCACGAGCCATGAGAAATATGAAAATATTATTTATATGTATTTTGCAATGATTTAATGTGAAAATCTAAAAATATATATCTGTAAAAATATAGTACTAGTTTATATACATGGCGATGTTTGAATAATTTATATGTGTTAAATTCTGCAGTTGTATGACTCACAAAATATCACAAAATGTCGCTTTCCGGCTGCAAATATATTTATTATAGAATATGGTTATTACTTTTATTAATTTATTAAGAATATATGATTATTTTTATATCAGGTCCGTAACTCCAGAACCGTAACTAAAATACAGCTTTCTAATTGACTGATTACGACGTTCATATCAAACCTATTCGGACTTCGGTCAGCTGATGAATGAAATAAATTTTTCAAAACTTAAAGAACTACCCCCCGAAAACAGTTTGTCAATAAGTTATAGCCCGTATAGGCTGGTTATGATGATATTGATTAATAGATCTTATGCATAACACATATCACAAGGCTTGATGCCCGCGAGGAATGCTGGTCTTAGTAGTCATCGTCCGGGAAAATTTCGATAGTGGCCATTTTGAACTGTTTAATTTTCCCGGGCGATGACTACTAAGACCAGCATTCCTCGCGGGCATCAAGACTTGTGACGTCATTATGCATAGGTCTATTGAAGGGTTTTGTTGATGGAAATTTCAAGTTTTAAATTTTATACATTTATTAGACCTGACCAGGAGCAGTTGCAAAAAAATGCGGTCCTGCGATCATTAGGCATCATTTTTGTTGATTTTAGACTTTTGTAAAGCCGTTTACGGCAAAGTAGTCGAGTTAATTTAACATTTTCTGGTTTGTTTTGAAAACATGTTACTGTATTGATGGATAGTTTACGGACTTTGGCTCAATACGACAAAGAATGAAGAATATGAATTTGATAGTTGCCACGTGAAAATCAACCAATATGGCGTCGATTGCAAACGAGCAATATACTGGTTATTTCCAATAAATTGGACACTCGAACTTTCCATCTACAAAACTCTTCTAAAATTAGTTCCATCGAACAAGATGCCCAAATTAAATCCTCATATAACAACATTGAGAATAGGAAACAAGGAAGACAACTTGGCGAATTATATTCATGAGTGAGTTTTTCAACTGTATCAGCCAAAAGGACGAGTTTAATGCGCTTTTTATTTGCACCAATCACCATGAATATTAATCACGAGATTATCGCAATGTCGCAATGCCAGTGTAATTTAATATTCAGGAATTCAACTCAAACTAAACACAGACGTTGTCTATATCAAAGGTCGCTTTGATTGTTTGCTTAAAAGTCGGTCACTTACATCGACGGCAATTTAGTATATCCTGGAAATAGTGGAAAAATTAACTAAAGTACTGCAGAATCTGCATCAGTAACTCAAGTTGAACTAAAAGTTACAAACGTACGAAGATACGTTATTGACGTGGCAATGATTATTAATGCAGGCTATTGTTATTCAACAAGATAAATCAAGCTATTATCGTTATGTTTCATGAAACACGATTGAACGATTAATCTTTTCCTTTTGAATTTTTCTTAACAGTTTCATATGAGAATTGCGCATTACGAGGGAGTTATAAATCCGAGAACTCTATCGACTGGTGTTGTAATTGAGAATCTGCATGCTTATGGATTGAAATGGCCTCGAAATTGGCTGTATACGACACTGGTTATGAAGATGAACGATTCGAACAGGTTGTCAGCCAGGGTTTTCACTGTATTATTTGCACCAGCGTTCTCAAAGATGCAGTCATGTGTCCTGAAAATGAACATTTGTTCTGTCGGGCTTGTATCACCATAGACATCTCATGAACTTTCAAACATGCTCGACATGTATGGAACCACTCACTGTCGAGACACTAAGCCAAGCGTCACGAGGCGTAAGAATTTTGCTGGCTGAATTGAAGATTCGATGTGAATTCTTCAATCGTGGTTGTGGAAAGTTTATTGAGCTGGGAGATCTTGAAAGGCATGTTACAGAATGCGGGTTTGCCCCAGCAGTCTGCTCTAATGAAGGATGTCGACTTGAGGTGAATAAACAAGATTTACTTCATCACGAAACTGCTGTGTGTGAACTACGCAGAGTCAAATGTCACAATTGTGATGACATAAGACAAGAAATGGACACAGTGAAAGTTAATTTGGCATTAATGAATGAAAAACTGGACAGAAATAAGAAGAGGCTCTTGGAAACGTTAGAGAAAATTGAAACGAACGGAAATGCTGTGGAAAATGTCGTTCGAGAAGTAGAACTGATTCGACAAGTAGAACTGATTCGACAACAATTTAACAAGCAGGATGTCAATAATCGTCCTGTTCAAGGAGATATTGTGGAAATGAAAAAAAGTTTAACTAAAATTACGAAACTACTCGAAAGAATGAGTCAACAAACATCGCATGAAGTTCAGGCTGAACAAGAACAAAAGAAGACAGGAATTGCAGAAGCTGATGATGAAACAGACAGAACAAAGGAGGCAGTTTGCATTCTTGAAGGCAAGGAGGACGGATATTTGAAATCGGAGGAAATGTGCAATTTTGTAAATACAGAGCAGACAGAGGGAGATCGAAGAGTCTGCGCCTACTAATGACTCTTATGTGTTTCACATTCGGACATCATCTTCTGAATCTGAGAGAAGTACTGCATATCATGATACAACGTCAACACTTTCACTTGAAACATCTCATGAAGTCTCTGATATGCCTATGGCGATTCAAGAACAAACCAGTTACAGTTTGGAAAAGGCGCCACTTAGCAAATTCGCGGCAAAAAAAGCCAAAAAAGAAAAAAAAAGAAAAAAAGCTTTAAAAAGACAAGAACGGCTGAAATAAATCCAAATCTGAAATAAACCCGAATTGACATCTAAAAAACCCGAATCTATAGCAAAATATGAGAAATACTTTGCTTTTGTATTCTATAGTATTATATACTTAATGAATAAATATCAACCTTTTGAAAATGACAGAGTACTTTGTTTGCGTGCGAGCAATTGCGCTGTGGAGTCTGAGAGTGTTAGCGTCATGCCTCGCGTCATGCTATATAAAAATTGCAACACTGTCAAAGATTTTTCGAGGTTGGTTTCCATATAGATATTTTCTGCGTGGTTAAGTGTTTTCACTGTTTTGTTTCCTGAGTTATGTTATCTGATAATTAGGAAGCGCGAAAAGGGTTATTCATAATAATATTAATAAACGTTCTCTGATCGTAAAACATTTATTTAATATGTTATGATGTGGCCGGAGCTCAGAGCTATAATTCGGCCGGAGCCGGAGATGAAAAACCAGAGTTTGCACAGCACTAGTTTTGTAGAGCCGCAACGACGGTCGAGGAGCCACAAACCACACTGCTTTCCCGAGGTCTCAGACTCTCAGTGAATGAGTGTTTTGTTATATAGTATATAAGTGTCAAAGTATGAATAATTCACCGGCTATTGGAGTGAACTTTGAAACCAAAACTAGATAAATGGAACGCCGTAAATGTTTAATAAACTGAATTGTGGACCGGCACGTGGTACGGTTTGACCAATCAGGAAACAGAAAAATTGAACTTTGCCACTAACTATATTATAATTATAATTATAAGCAATTTAACAACTGAATTAAAAATATTTAATCACGATCGAAATTTTCACCGCTGAATAATCAGTGGCCAATGCACGTTGCTGAGCATTTATTGCATGGTTCCGTGGGCTCAGCCAAGAATGTTTTTTGCTTTACACTACTTGAAGTTATTTATTACAAAATATAAGGCTCGGTTTGTAAGCTTAATATACTTTTAACTACGCTTATTAATATTGTTTTTTCTTCTTCAAGTCAAATTTCTAACACTAAAATTAACTGAACGTTGCCGATTATATCTTGAAATAATTCACTATTTCACGTCATTAATATTCAGCATTTTATGATATAGGGCGGACTATATTGGATAGAAGCTTATCGTGGCCTTTTTCCTGTTTTTTCAAACCTTTTCAGATGTTTTGTCAATTTCAAACACATTGAATAACGATATAGCATTGCAAAGTAATGAGAAGGATTTAGAACATTAGCTTAAGAAGACCTTTTTTCTGACCAATTTTGGTTAAAATTATACTAAAGCGCTGAATAACTTGACGCCTACGTTTTTTTGTGAAAATTAAGTCAAATGATCTTTTTAAAACATACTTAATGACTGGAATTGAGTGTTATATGCACAAGTATTTTTGAACTAGGTCAGTACGTATTTGATTTAACTTTTTAATTTTTGTTTAATTATTTAAGCAAATTCGTCGCCGATTTGTTGCCGGTGTCCCAGGATTTTCGCCCCCCCGGGCGAAATTCCTAGGAATATCGCCACCCGGGGGCGAAAATCCTAGGAATTTCGCCCCCCTTTAGGAAATTCGCCCCCCTTTAGAAACTTCACCTTTTCTTTAGGATTTTCGTCCTCCGTTCAAAATTTCGCCCTTCCTAACAGTTGCATGGGATAATTATTACATGGCTTTAATCATTTGAAATCAGTATCAATTCAAAACTGTTAGGACAGAGCTTGAAATAACAACCGATCACCGATCAATGATCAGCAAGGAATTGCTTATGATCGGCGGAAAAGCAGGGTTTCGGTTTCCAACCTGAAAAAAGCAGGGAAACTGGTCATGACTGCCGATCACCATGATCGGGAACTTTGGGAACGTTATTTCAAGCCCTGTGTGTAAGAATACAAATTTACAATTACATGTATCGAAAGGGCTTTACACAGTTACAGTAGATCAACAGGACTTATGACGCTTCACAGCACACCATGCATATTTTGCATTTTCAGTGTTAATCCTTGGGGGGCGAATCTCCTGTGACACCGGTACATGTTGTCGCTGTATTATTATCGCTGACGCTGTATTATTATTCGCTGTATTATTATATGGTATAATTGTTTTGTTCCCTGATGACTTGTAATTTGATCATACACTTGAATAATTTATTCATAAACCTTTGTAATTGTTAGTATATTTCAATAAAACTATATTTCTTTATTGTATACGAATCGAAGCGTCAAAGTTCATGTTTTGTTGCATCTCATTGGACGAGAGCATATCACGTGAAGGACACGAAATTCGACTGTCTCCTGGCAACAGTGGAGGGAGTAAATAAAATCGTCAAACAAAAATTCTTGAAGTTTCCGGTTTCTTTTTTTTCTATGACACTTGGTATGTACCCTGGTTGCCAGAGGTTCTGTATCTTTCGCCTTATTTCCGCTGGCAACAAGGGTACTTGGTATGTAACAAAAATACTTATTGACTGTGACGTTCTGGAAAAGTTTGTTTTGTACATGTGGATCTAATCCCTAGTCTAGATCTTCGCCTGGGGAAACGGCAGTCGAGGTTCCACAAAACATACTCTTTACACCCTGGTTCATCACTTCCAAATATCTCGACTTAATATTTTGCCATATTGGGTTCAGAAGAGTCCAATAAGTTATATTATTACGCATTATCTATACAATCTCCGTTTTGATTCGGGCGGCTGGCCTAATTCTTGATATTGTGTACTATTACAGTATTACTGACATCACATGCATCTGCAGTAATATTAGGTTTCTACATATGACGTCGACCCTGCAGAGAATTATCGCAACGCCAGCTTCTTTACATGCAGAAATATAAAGCCATGGCGAGATTTGCCTTACAGCATTAAAAGTTTTAATCGAATATATTGAAGAGAAAAATATAAGCAACCTCAAGAGAAAAAGACCCTTTCTGAAGTTGTAAAACTATTTTACTAAATTAAAACAATATTGTTTTTCATAAATCGAAAATTATCAAGGCCTCGGCTGTTCAGATAACACAACCTCGGCCTTGATACTTTTCGATATCGCACTCAACCTCATCCAATAATTATTAACTATACCTACACTGGACTCCTGTTTGACATTACTATCATGCGAGTACTCAGCTGATTACCACGAAGCGAATAACAGTGGATCTTATATTTCAGCAGATTTGTGGATTTCGACACTAACTAGTAGTCCACACTCGAAACCGAAAGTAACTTTATTTTAAATTGATTAGTTGTGGGAGGAGGTGCCAATTAATTGAGGAAAATGTTCAAAATAATTACGGAGAAGTAGGCGTATTTGGTTGCACTGTGGATTTAACACTATAAATAGTTCAAGGAGTTGAACCCAAAAGTTGAAATATGTTTAAAGCAAAACCAGGATTATTCATAATAAGTTTGTGTACGTTCTCTGGTTTTAAATATTTATTTAAAATAAATATTACGAGCTTTCGACTGCCAGTCTGCAGTCTTCAACGGGTGGATTACAATGAAAGTGTGCAATAATTATCATTGTAATCCACCCGTTCAGGACTGCAGACAGGCAGTCGAAAGCTCGTAATAAATAAATATTTAAAACCAAAGAACGTCTACGAACTTATTAAATCCAAAAAAGTGTTATTCTGTCACCGTATATATCCCTAATTTACTAATTAATAATTAATTAATTAATATTAAATTAATTATTATATTAATTATTATTTACTAATTTTATTTTTTTTAATTTTTATTTATTTGTTTTAGATATACTCCCTAATTTTTGTAAATTTTATGAGGGCCACAAGTTCATTAGTACTTCGTACTATTAAGTGTCACCCTTTTTAAATAAAGTCTCTATCTATCTATCTATCTAATAATAATAATAATAATAATAATAATAATAATAATAATAATAATATTAATAATGATTTATTAGCGATTCCAAATTGAATTGGCTCTTCTATCACTAAATTAACTAATCTATATTAACAAGTACAATATTTACAATGAGTAGCTATGAAGAGTTAATACATCTATACAGTACATTCACACAGTCACAGTACATATTTCACAAAACAGATGTAACAAAACATAGTCATTTATACCCCGGCCCGAGCCCAAAGATCCTGGGTACGAGGTTGGCCCGAGCTATGTGAGATAGACTTTCACACTTGACTTTTTCTATCTACAGTTTCAGTGAACCTCCATGCCCTGTGATTCATCCCAATATGCAGTTGTCTCATTAGAATTTTGGCTTCTGTCACACGTGTCAAGAGACGCAGGTTTTTTCCGTGTACTCGCAAGGATAACTGTACAAACTCCTTGTCGTAGAGTCGGAAAAAAACAGTGGTATTTGCTAAGTGTCAAACGTAGGAGCACCTTGTCTCATGTTACAGAAGTAGAAATTATAATCTGATTATCAGACAACTTCATATTGAGAGAATCGCACCCCAGGTTAAGCCACACAACCACAGTGCAACCAACCCTGCCCATATCCCCGTAATTATTTTGAACGTATATCTAAATTAGCACCCTCTCGCACAGCTCATAAGAAAAGCCTAACTAAAAGTCGCTTTAGGCAAGCAGGATGCGAGACCTACTGTGTGACACTTTGGCAATATCCGAATGCATATAAATATATATAGTATATGTTGATTTTAGCTTCTTCGATAGTTTCGGAAAAGAAATTCGTTCCAACGATAGTTTACTGTTGAATGGTAAACGATCAAAAATCATTATCCTTTTGTTTTCATTTTTTCAAGTTTTAGATTCTGTTATTATTCTCAAATATCGATTTTAATGCGTG